AGTGACACGGGACAATTCCAGAACTTGGCACTAGTAAAAAGCTCCCACATTAAGTATCCAACTTGGAAACTGAAAAAAGAACAAAAGAAATGCAAAATAGAGGGAAGAAAAGAAATGTGGGATTCAACAAAATACAAAAACAAAGGTAGAACACAAATGATTTTGGAAAGTCCAAAGTTGCTATGGTAGGAAAGATAAAGTTTATTAGGAACTATAAAAGCAAAATTTAAAATATACTCCAAATTTTGAAAAAAAAAAAAAAAAGACACACTCCTAGACTAGCACAACTCACCAACACTGACTCAAGGGAAAACAAAACTGTTCTCTGAGCATGAATGCACACACACCGTAGCTGGAGACCCTCTCCCGTGGGCCACACCCGGCCCGAGAGCAGGCAGGGCGAATTCCGCCAAGTGCCTTCCTGAGAACAGCAGCAAGGCATGTGGCAGCAGCCTGCAGCCTGGCAAAGGCCACCAGGCCCCATAGACTCCAGAAGGTACGTGGGCAGTGACAGGTCGGCCAACCAGGTCGGCCAGGGTGGCCACTCAGGGAGCTGGACTCCGATCCCTAACGTGGCTCTTGTGCGGGAGACGTGGCTGGGGGAGCAAGGACCCTGCACACAATAGGGCCTGGCCTTCAGCATCCTGGCAAGACCGAAGCTGGACACAGAGAGAACACGGAAAAGCTACCAAGAGTAAAGCATGGAAACCAGCAGGCTGCACCTTAGCACATCCTGACACGCAGACAGGGCGGGGAGGCAGGCAGTGCCATGGTGCTGCATGTTAAGCTGCACCAGCTCCACTTCAGGCCCAGCTCCCCACTACTGTACCTGGGAAGGCAGCAGGGCACGGCCCAAGGGCCTGGGTCCCTGCCTTCTACATGGGAGACCTGGATGGAATTCCAGGCTCCTGGCTTCAGGCTGGACTAGCCCTACCCACTGCAACCATTTGGGGAGTAAACCAACATTACAGAAAATCTCCATCTCTCTCTCTCTCTGTCTCTCCCCCTCTCATTCTCTCCCTCTAACTGCCTTGTAAATAAAAAAGTGCACCCCAAGCAAAGCAAAGAAAAAGAGGAATACATGAATGAAAATATAACTGCATCCTTGGAATACCTAAGACCGCTCATACATGGTCCACAGGAGAAATGGTGCAGACAGCCAGAAAAGAATGGGACAGACTGTACCTGCTTCAAAAATGAGATTTGTCAGGATGGAAAAAGATTAGAAAGACAGTGGCGGGACAAATGCCAAGCAGTATCTGCCTCCTCAGCTGTTTTTGAGAACCAAGACTGGAAAGTTACATAAGGTGTGGGTGACAGAGCACAGAATAACCCAGTGCTGATCAAAGGTGCCCCGGCTCAGAATGAGCTGCTTTCTGCAATGTTCTGACTGTTGGTCTTGCCCTGACACTCCCAGGAGTCAGTGTGTGGAGGGAGACAGCAGTGGGTGTTGTCACAGCTCTGTTTAGGAAGGATTGCACTAGAAACCTGAATTCAGGCTCCGTAGACAAAGTGGCCAAAGAGAAGGCAGGCAGATATTTGGGACATACCTCAACCACAGGAGCTCAGTGCAGACATAGCTAGGGTGCAACCTGTGCTGTGGTGACCACTGTCTTTCAGACAGCACGCTCTCACATCTGCCCGGGGGCCACCTCCCAAAGCTAGCACCAGATGCCCTTGGCACCTGCAGCAGTGGAACACACCTGAGCATACCAGTCAACCATCTGTAGCTCAGCAGAGAAACTGCAGACACAAACACACAGATCATGGGTCAGACGCCTGTTGTTAAAACGCCCATACTACCGCAAGCAATCCTTAGGTAATCCAGGGACACTTTTTACAAAAGCACAGGAGCAAATTTTACATCTGTATGGAATCACAAAAGACCCCTGACAGTCACGGCCATCCTGAGCATCACAATACCTTGACTTCAAAATACTTGCCTGCCATGAAGCTAGAGTAATCAAAATAGTACAGGGCTAATGAACAGCAGACACAAAGGCCAAGGAAATGTTAGGGAGCCAGAAATGAACCCACACAAAGATCAACTCATATTGACAAAGATGCCCAAAACACATCATGGGAAAAGAATAGCCACTTGGATAAATGGTACTGGGAGAACTAGACCCATGAAAAGGCAGTTAATAACTATAATAGGCTCAGATATCAGCCGGCAAGAACTTCAGTTTTACAACGTGGCATCCTACAGATTCCACCAAGATAAGTCCGGGTAGCCCTCAGACTGATGGCCAGCAGATCAAGAAGTCCAGTAGTGGCATGTCAGGTGCTATTCTGTACAGTGTAGCAAAAGCTTTAACACTGCAGGGACAACAGTAAGCTGCGCATGTGCTGAGCTGGGAGCAAACTCATTGAGCTCAGTGCATTGCACTGGTCCCACATGGAAAATAATACTGATTTTGGCATCATATGGGTCAAAATAGGTCCGTGTGGCCCTCAGATCTAATGAATAACATGTTCCAGAAAGGTCAGCACCACCAACAATCTAGTTATATAGGACTTCTGGTGTCTCCCTAATCCTGGGAACTGCTCCAACCGGAAGTGGGAGAAAGGTTGTACAGACAACAGTGCAGCCTCAGCACAGTATCACAGGAGGTGGAGAGTGGTGAGCCAGGAGCTGGGGTTACGGAGACCATGGTGGAAATCTAACATAAAAACCCAGCCCTGGAGCTTGCTGAAGGAAGAGGCACAAGTGACTGCAAACAAAGAGCTGTGTACCAACCGCAATATAATAAAAAGAATTGTAGACCTGTGGGCAACACAACTTTAGAAACCTGCCCCGAGGAGAAGAATCTGATAACCAGAAATACAAGACCAAGAGCAAAAGAACAGACACAGGCACAATGAATGTTACTGAAGACTTCCCTGCAAAGTAACAAAAGCCTTTGCCAACCTCAGAGTTCACTGAGTAAGACATCAAGAGAGTGGGGGGTACAGAATTCAAAACACTTGTTATAAAGCTTCTTATCAACAACAAGAAACACATAATACAGGAGTTCAAGAAATTTAAGGAATATGTCACACAGGAAATGAATCAAATGAAAGTTGATATGTCAGAAATGAAGAACACAGTAGAGTAAATTGAAATTACAGTGGAGAGTCTCAATAATAGAATGAAGCAAGCAGAAGAAAGAATCTCAGAATTGGAAGATATTTCCTGTCATCAGGGGGAAACAAAAAACTGAAAGCAAAACTGAGTCAAGCTAAAAGAAAGTATTCAAGAACTGAAAGACACTATTAAAAAGCCAATTTAAGGAGTTATGGGAGTCCCAGGAGGTGCAGAAAGAGAAACTGGTTTCACAAATATATTTAATCAAATAATAATGCAAAGTTTCCCTAATCTGGAGAAATAATAGGGAAACAAGATCCAGGAGGGGCACAGAACTCCCAACAGGCATGACCAAAAGCCATCTTCACCATGACACATGATCATCAAGCTCTCTTCAATTGAACATAACGAAAAAAATCCCTAAATGTGCACGTGAAAAAAATCAATTGACATATAATGTGGAATAGCAATCAGACTCACAGGAGAGCTCTCACAGGAAACTGTACAGGCCAAAAGAGAATGGAGTGACATATTCCAGATTCTAAAAGAAAAAAAATTTTTGCCCAAGATAACAAACCCAATAAAGTTTTCCTTTGTCTTTGAAAACGAAATAAAATTCTTCCATGGTAAAGAAAAGTTAAAAGAATTTGCCTCTTTCAAACCTGCCCTACAAATGATACTTCAAGATGTTCTCTTGACAGAGAAGAGGAATAGCACCCAGCAAAACCAAAGGCAAATGTGAAGAACATCCCAGTAAAATGACAACAGAAGACTAAATCACTGAACAACCCATTGCTAAAAAGACAGAACCAAATTATTAACCCATTCATATTAACCCTGAATGTAAATGGCTTAAACTCATCAATCAAACATCATAGATCAGTAGACTGGATTAAAATAACAAAACCCATTTATTTATTGCCTCCAGTAGACATATTTCACCAACAAAGATCAGCGGAAACCGTATTTCACAGGTTTTGATTTTTTTTTTTAGTTTCATCTCTTCAAAACTCTTTCGCATAGATCATAGAGTAGCATCATTTTCTTCAAGAAGGTTCTTGGTTTTCTTTTTCATTTCTTCAATGATACATTAGCATGTTATTCATGTTGTTGTAAATTTTTATCTTTCTTCCTTTTGTTGATTTTGTATTGTGATTTTTCATTTAAGGGGATGTGTAGTAACTGTGCAGTGGAGATTATCATATCCAGATGTGAGGCTACAATACTGTATGCATCTCTACTTCCAGATCAAAGATGGATTCCCAATGAAACTGTTAATTATATCTTAACAATAGCATGCTGGACTCTGTCATTGTCCATGCCTGCAATGATGGATTCATGACGGTTTACGAACTATACTATAGAATATTATAGGGGAATTCAGTGGGGGTGACGGATCTCGAGGATGGGTTAAGGGGAATCTCAGGGCCTATTGAACTGTATCATAAAATGATAATAGTAATAAAAAAAGAGAAAAGATTCATGGAAAATAAATTTTAAAAATCAAAAAAAAAGGTTACAGAAACAACTTAAGAAAACATCTTTGTAAATCCTGGCAGCCACAGGGGCCCTCTGCTCCAGGTGCTGGCTACTAGTGATGGTATTTTCTGGACCATTAATTGGCTAACGCTAAAGAAAATAAACGGGGGAAAGACACGGTGTTGGCAAGTGCATTTGACATCCGTGACCACAGCAAGTGTTTGCAGCAGCACAAGACAGTGCATGGGGCTCAAAGGGACCTGCTGCCACACTGCCCGCCAGTGGGACCAGAATTGGGCGTGCAAATCAGGGCCCCAGTCGGATTTATTCACACTGTGGCTGAGCTGTGATCAGCCCTGTTGCAGAATACTCTCCAGGTGTAACTCCTGAACTGACAGGGTCCCCCACCCTGACCCCTGGCCCCCAGAGCCTGGACTGGCCATGAGTCCCTCACCTGTCCTTTTGATTGTATAAAACCCAACAGCTGCTCCGTCTCTCCACAGAATCTTCGCTCGCTCCTTTGCAGAGTGAGGCAGGAAAAACATGGCATCATCCAGCTTGCGCTCCAGTCCTCCAAAAATGACAACGTTGAGAACGAAGAGCACGAGCCTCTCCCCGAGTGCCTGAACCTTTGAAGGAAACAGAGAGAATAAAGCACCAAGCAAGATGGGGCAGGACAATTGGGCGCCATCAGCCCTGCCTTTGGAATCACCCCAAAGGGGAGCCAGGTGTGGACTGTGAAAATCTCACAAACACACCACTGCACCTCTAGTCTTGGGCACCTTGTGGCCTCTGGGAACCAAAGGCAAGACCAGAGGAGGTCCCCAGCACCACCAGCCGGGCACAGGGCTCAACATGCCCACTGTCCTCCACCTGCTCATGAAGCAGGAAGTGAGCACAGAGGGACGCAGCCAACCCAAGGTGGAAAATTCAATGCCTATGGCCCCAAATGAACCCAGTCTGCCACCTCTAGATCCTCTAGATTGCCATGCTGGGTTCCAGAATTCCAGGCCCCTGGGTGAGGAGGGGAAAAGTCTCGGAGCTCCACTGCAACGCCAGGTCAAGTGAACGCCGAGGGCTCAGGACAGATCTCCACCGGGGTTCTAGGCTTCTAAGGCTGCCGCCGGAAGTGTCATATGTTGCACCTGTCATTGCAAGTCCGGAGACCATGTGATCAAGGCTCTTCCCACTCACAGGGAGATACAGCCCTTATCTTCCCTACTCACAGCAGCTTCACAGCAGCTGCTAGAAGGTGAATTCGAGCACAAGCGGTCAGCTATTTACCCACCGACAGTGCCCTAGTACCGCCTCTCACCCTGACAGCACCGCGTGCATGGAGCCATCCCACCCACCAGCACCAGATCAGCCACACCACTGACTGCACTGTAACTTCCACCCACAGGTTTCCTGCTGATTCTCTCCACCTGCAGGGAGTCGCTGATTCAGAGGTGAAGAACCTGGAGCAGATGAAGGCAGAACGCACCGACACTCCTGCCTCCATCCAGAGAGGACTGGAGACAGCTGAGCAAGGGAGCAGGGTAGCCAGGGGCAGGCTGGACACAACTGTCGCAGGCTGGCAAAACTGCTCTAGCACCTGCCCTGGGGAGCCCTCCATGTCCCCAAATGTTAGCACTGAGATTTGTGCAGAGGGAGTGTTTCGCACAAATGTGAACGCGTGGCTTTGTAGGTGATATTTGACTCCGAAGCGATGGCTGGCAGCCTCCGTGGGCACGGGGTCTCAGCCTGCCTGCTGGGAGAACCTCAGCTCCGTTAGCTGGTCCAGAGAGAAGCTCCCCGAAGGAATGTCTAAAGGACTCGTGTATCTCTAAACACTGATGCTAAAAGTAAGGCAGCCACCACACCTAGCAAGCAGCACCGAGTGTTCAGTGCTGATAAACTCGTAAACCGGCCCACGATACAGAACACTTCACCTTTATCTGCAGCCAAAGCTTAGACAAGGAAGAGATTTGGGGGGGGGGGGAACACCCCTACTTGGCTCTTTGAAGCCACCACATCTTCTATCTCAGACAGCGGCAGCCAAATCTAGTTCAGGCTGTGAGAATTACCAGCAAGCTGCAGAACTGCATCCGTGCGATGTGGGAACGAAACCACAAAGTTCAGAGAGAAGCCAGAAGGGGGCAGCAGAGTGACCGGAGAGGAGGGGAATATCCATCGGAAACCGATGGGGAAAAGCAGAAAATACGCTTCATTTGTCCAATTCTATCACGGAGTGGAAAATCGTGACCCATGTGATTCTGACTTAGAAATGTTTTGGAAAACAAAACTAAGATCCGGTTCTAATCCCTCATCAGGACCACTAATTATGCTAACAGAAAGAACATTAGAAAAGTTTTGGGGGTAATTTGTGAAGAAGAGCTGGCAGAGAAACAAAATGCAATTAAGAGAGAGAAAAAAATGTCAAGACCCAAAGTGGCACAAAAAGGGGAAGATCCCCACTGGGAGGATACAGCTTCACCACCGGGTTCATTAAATGGAATTAACAACTGAGCTTCTTGCCATTCAAGGCCTGGGCCACAGGAACTTAGAAAAGATGAGAAATGAAGTAAACAACCACTCCTGTTCTGAAAAGTCACTAGGAACAAGTCAGATCCTCCCCAGGGTTCAGAACAGCCATCTGACAACACAGCTGGGGGAGCGACACGCCCTGGGCACGCGGGGGCCTTGGCAGAAGCCCAAGTCCTCATTAGCTACTGGAGGAAAAAAATCTCTTCCGTATTTAGCATCTACCCAGTCCATTAAAATCAGCACCCCTGTGACCAAAATGGGGGAAAAATGAAAATCACATATTTGCATCTAGAATACATGAAAAACTGGTATTTCAAGAGAGAAAAAAAATTAAACTAGCAAGTTTAAGAAGTGGGTCAAAGTGGCCACTGTGCTGCAGGCGCGTTAAGCCGCTGCCTGCTATGCTAGCACCCACATGGGTGTGGTTTGGAGCTCACCTGCTCCACTTTCACCCTAACTCCCTACTAATACACCTGTGAAGGCAGCAGAAGATGGGGACACAAGGATGGAGTCTCTGGCACCTGGATTCAGCATGATCCAACCCTGGCCACGAGGGCCCTTTGGGGAGTGAACCAGCTGATGGAAGCTCTGCCTCTGTAATTCTGCCTTTCAAATAAATAAATATATCCTTTACAGAAACTATCTTAGTGTTCACTTTGGCAGCACATATATTAAAATTGGAACGGGAAATGATTTTTTTAAAAAAATCAAAAGTGTGTCTAAGATCTTAATAAACAGCTTTTCAAAGAGGATAGACAAATGGTCAACCAACACACACACACACACACACACACACACACACACACACACACACACACACACACACACACAAGCCTCTCCTTTAGCCACCAGGGAGCTGCAGATCAGAACCTGGCAGCCACCACTTCACACCTGCCCGGATGGATCCTTAAGGAAGACACTACAAGTGCCGGGGATGGTCGAGACTTCAGCCTGCTGGAGAGAGCGTGAAATGGCGCAGCTGCTGGCCAAGGCAGCTTGGCACTGGCTGAACACGTTAAATATAGAGCTGGCATATGACCAGCAGTCCCCCTCGTAGGTGCGTATCCAAGAAAAGTGGAAACGTATGTCCCCTGAAAACTCACACACACTCTCTCTCTCTCACAGGATTATTCCTAACACTCAGGATGTGGGAAAATTCAAACGTCCCTCAACTGCCAGATGGGCACACAGCAGTGCACCCTCAAGGCGGCCTGTCTGATTGTATTACCCCACGGATGAACCCCGAGAATGGGCTGCTAAACGTAAGAGGCCAGGCCCCAGGTGCCAGCCCACCTAGTCGACACGTCTGCAATAGGCAGGTCCCAGGGCCAGAACAGAACTAAGCGGCAGGGAAAGGCAGGAAACGAGAGGTGACTGCTGATGCATACAGAGCTTCGTTTCAGAATGTTCTGGAATCAGCAGTGGTCAACACACAATGTACTGAAAATTATCCAATGGTACTTTTAAAAGAGCGAAATTTGAGGGCATTGCCATAGTATGGTACGCTAAGCCTCTGCCTGTGGTGCTAGCATTCCACGCAGGTGCCGGTTCAAGTCCTAGATACATCATTTCTATTCCAGCTACATGCTTACAGCCTGGAAAAGTCAAGGATGGCTCAAATCCTTGGGCCCTTCACCCACATGGGAGACGCAGAGGAATCTCCCCTGCCTCTGGCTTCAGATCGGCTCAGCTGCAGCCGTCACAACTTTTTGGAGAGTGAACCAGCAGATGAAAGCTCTCACTCTGTCTCTCCTTCTCTCAGCTTTTCCAATAAAATAAATCTTTCAAAGAAAGACTGGGGCCCGGCAGCGTGGCCTAGCAACTAAAGTCCTCGCCTTGAACATACCAGGATCCCATATGGGCACCAGTTCTAATCCTGGCAGCTCCACTTCCCATCCAGCTCCCTGCTTGTGGCCTAGGAAAGCAGTCGAGGACGGCCCAAAGCCTTGGGTTCCTGCACCCACGTGGGAGATCTGGAAGAGCTCCTGACTCCTGGCTTCGGATCAGCATAGCACCGCACCGGTCGTTGCGCTCACTTGGGGAGTGAGTCAACTGAAGGAAGATCTTCCTCTCTGTATATCTGACTTTCCAATAAAAATAAATCTTCAAAAAAAAAATAAAAGGAAGACTGAAATTTGTGATGTCGCATCTTAATTAAGCTGAACAGGAAAAGAAAACCACAAACGGGGTTATTGGCTTCTCTGCCGAACTGACCAGAGCAACAGTGACATCCCCTCAGTGTTTGCAGAATCCCGTAGAGGCACCGCGGAGCAGCCACAGCCACAGTCGGTAAGAGCATCCTCTCAGGGGTACAGGGGCCCACTGGGCTCTCTCCCCTAGGAGCAAACATGGTACACACCCTCCCAACTCTTGTTCAGGTACCACCTTCCTCCTTAGCCAAAGTTCAGTTGGGGTGCACCTGCTGGAGTGACTGCTGCCATCCTCACCCACGTACCAGATTTCTCAACATGTAGAACAAACATGGTAAAGATTATGAAATGGGAGGGTCACCATCCCAAGCCTGAGACAGTGCATAGAGAGGCATGGGCTTGGCCCTGGCCTGTGGTCAGTGCGCCGTCAGGTAGGAGAGGCCACTGAGGGAGGTGCAGCAGACTGGCCCCAGAGAGCCACTCGAGGTGGCTGTTTGTCACTCACTCCTTGCTGGCTGAAGTGAAGGGTTGACTTGTGTGTCCTGAAAGAAGCTGTAGGTCCTCAAAAGAAAGCAACCCCAGGGGCAAAGGTGGCACAGTGACCGCTGACACTCCATACCGGAGCAGCCGGTTCAAGTCCCAGTTACTAAGCTTCCAATCCAGCTCCCTGTTAACGTGCCTGGGAAAGCAGTCACGGATGACGCAGGTTCTTGGGTCCCTGCAGGCACACAGAGGACCCAGACGGAGCTCCTGGTTGTGGCCTGGCCCTGTTGGAAGTAGGGTGCTGAAGCCGCTCCCGGGAATAGGAAACCCGGAATAGGAAAGGCCATCACAGGATGGCAGCTGGCCCCGGGTCAGGAGGCGGGGTTGGTCTCGTCAGCAGGTAAACAGGAAGTCACAGCGATAGGCTCATGCCCTCGCTGCAATTATGTCATTGCTACTGGCCTATCAGGTAGCACCAAGTGGACCCACGGGGAGAAGTGATTGGTGGAGAGTGGTATAAAAGCAGCCGGTAAAAGCTAAAGGGGAGGGGGGGACAAGGAGGAGAAAGACGGAGAGAAGAACAAGGGATGGAACAGGAAGAGCGGCTAAGATCTTCGGGTGGAAAAACTAAGGCATATGGGGAGGAAAAGCAGCATAGAGGGGTACAAAAGCAGTACAGAGAGAAAAGTACGGGGACAAGAACAGAGAAGAGCAGAGGAGGAGGGAAGAAAAACAGGACTATAAAGGAGAAAGGGGTATAAACGCAGCTGCTTTTGGCAATAAAAGGGTCCGGTTGCGGTTCCGGCTTTTCCCAGACCCTCAAGAGTGTGCCTCGCAATTAGTGTCGCTGCGGTCAGCGACATGGCCCAGCCCCAACTGTTGTGGCTATCTGGGGGAGTGAGCCAGTAGATGTAAGATCTCTTTCTGTCTCCCCCATTGCCATTCAAATAAAGAAAATAAATCTCAAAAAAGAAGAAAAAATGAGAGCAGACTCAGTGACTCCTTAACCTGGCATTTCAGCCCCCGGAACTGTGGGACAGCGGGCATCTGCTGCTTAAGACACCTGGGTGGTGACCCCTCGGCCGGCCAGCCCAGGACATGCATCCACAGCAGGCTCACTGAGTGCCCTGGGGCGCAGTAGTGAGCACAGTGAAGGGTCATTTAAGACCACATCACCTCACCTCCATGAGACCTTCCCTGGCTGGATCAGAGGTTCGCAGGACATCTTCCGTGCACCACCAGGAGTCCTTCAGGTAGATGGCCACAACTGCAGGGGAAGCAGAGCCCACGGTCAGGTGCACGCAGCATGCCAGCTCCCACAGCAGCAGCTGCAGAGCTGAGAGCACTGGCAAGGACAATGAGCCCCCACTCGCTCCTGCACAGGACATCCCAAGCGGCTACAGTCCCCAAATCTACCCCCGTGTTGATGGGCCAAACCAAAATCACTCCAGCAGTGACAAATACAATGGGCAGAATTAGGGTTTCATGTTGCAAACAATTATCAGAGCCCAATTCACATGTCACAACTCAGCACTCCCCGAAGCCAGCATGATCTGACCTTGGTGAGGGCTGTGGACCCACCTGAGGCCTGCGTGAGGAACAGCACCTTGGCTGGTGTGGGAGACCAGCCCTGCATTTCTGCCTGCTTAGCCTAAGTGGGAGGTCATAGGCTCAAGGCCCATCATGCCCCAGGGGAACCCCCTGACAGTGGCTTCGGCTACCCGAGACCTCAACCTAACCTAATACTGGCTGTATAGGCAGGTGTGCTGGGCTGCACCCAGGTCTCTTTTCCGTCATTGGAGAGCTGCTCTAGGACTTCCTTGATCAGCAACTCCAAGAAGTCAAATGCAGCCCGTAGCCTACCTGCCAGCCACACAGGGTAAATGTGACCTGAGGCATACCTTCCAGCCTGGGTGCTGCATGTGACCTGCGACTGGATTGGAGGATCCAGAGAGACAGACATGCCTTCTAGCCAATTAGAGTGTCATTGCTGGGTGGGAGGACTGTCAGGAAACGCCCTTCTGCCTTCCTCTTTCCTAGTCTATATAAGCTTGTGCTTGTATTATAATAAACAGGCATGCTTGATCAGTCTCCGGTGGTTCCTGCTGACGAAGCATGCGGGGCTTCACCCTCTCGGTGGTTTCGGGGACCTGCTGGCATGACCGTCTTTCCTTCTCACTCATAACCTGTCACCCGTCCTACTCCTAGGAGGACACCACAGGAATGTGAAGGCCACATGCAGCTGAGGTGGGGTCCAGCCCAGGGACACTGGGCTTCAAGTTCACTGCTCTCTGAGAGGCTCAACTCGGAATGTGTGTTAGGCATGGGGTGAGCCAGGCAGGGGTGTGCCAGGCAGGGGTGTGCCAGGCAGGGGTGTGCCAGCAGGGGTGTCTAGGTCTAGGGGCAACGCTGTGGTGTGGCAGGTAAAGCTGCCAACTCGGGTGCCTGCATCCCAAGGGGACACCAGTTAGTGCCCCAGCTGCTCTGCTACGAATCCAGCTCCCTGCTAATGGCCTGGGGAAAGCAGCAGAAACAGACCCAAGTGTTTGTGCTTCTACCACTCATGTGGAAGGCCTAGACGGAACTCCTGGCCCCTGGCTTCCGGCTGGCCCAGTGCTGGCCATTCCAGCCACCCGGTAGGTAAACTGCCAGGTGGAAGATTACTCTCGATTTGTCTCTCCCTTTCTGTAACTCTTTCAAATTAAACAAAATCTTCTTGGTCTAGATGTACTCACACAGAAGTAAGGGACCTCAGTCTTTCTCCCATCTGTCTTCACCATCCCCCAGCCCGGAGCCCATCCCCCAGCCCAGAGTCCATCCCCCAGCCCGGAGCCCATCCCCCAGCCCAGAGTCCATCCCCCAGCCCGGAGCCCATCCCCCAGCCCGGAGTCCATCCCCCAGCCCAGACCCCTGGGCTGCTGGCTTTGCCTGGGACCCATCGCTTGAGGCATTCTCAATTTGGCCATGGTTCCTGCCAGCCTCACCAGGTTCTGGACTCTTCTGGTGCTGCCCGTCCGGCCTTCTAGGTGGCTGGCAAGCACAGGGGGGATGGAGTGTGAGGCTCCCAGCGTGGGCTGGCTTTAGGCAGGAGCTCAGCACCCATTGATCCTGCAGTCCCCACGTGCCCTCCAATTTTCCGGGCCAATCCCGTTCCCTGTGTCCACAGCTGCCTCCAGGCAGCCCCTCACTGGCCACCCAGGCTCCCCACCAGTGCAGCCCTGATGGCAAAGCCTCCCATGGCTGTTCCTTGCTTGGGACTTACATTTTGAATACCAAAGTGATTCTGTTTTCTGATATTTTCTATATTCTTTTTTTTTGTCATCATTCTTCTCCCTGCTTCTCTATTTTTTTTAATTAATTGGTTTGAAAGGAAGAGAGAGAGAGAGATCTCCCAGCTGCTGGTTTACTCCCCCAAGTGCCCACAGTCGCTGTGGCTGGGCCATGCCACAGCCGTGAGTTTTAGAACTCAAAGCCCGCCTCCCACAGAGTGGGAAGGACCGAGTGCCTGAGTCACCGCTGCCTCCCAGAGCAACAGTAGCAAGAAGCTGCCGAACGTGTGCCCGGCGCCAGCTTCTCGGGCTGCGGGAGCCCAAGCCTGAAGGACGACCGAGCATGAGCACATCTTCCTATTCCAATCCTTCTAGTGCAATACTAACCCAGAGTACAAAACCAAAGTCATCTGAACATGACATGGGGCAGCTGGGGTAGACAGGCAGAGCCCCGTCCCCTACTCCTCTCTGCTCTCGGTGCGGTCTCTTGTGCAGGACAGGCCACAAGAGCCTGAACCAGGTCAGATCCTTCCCTCTGCTCAGTGAGACTCCGGAGGGCCACGGTGTCCAGCCACCACGTCAGCCGGCCACCAGCGGGGAGTGAGATCCTGACAACGGCTGCGAAGAGGACGACGCAGCAGGCGGGAGGACGCGTCAGTTACAGGCCTGACACCTGCCTTCATTTACTCAACCGAACTCATTCCCGAATGCCCACCTCTGCCGCAGGGAGTGTTTTTCGTTTGCTTAACAAGGTGAGCCAATAAAACGAGCTCAACTTCGGAGTCCAGTGTGTTCCTATGGTAGATGTTCAACTGCTAGCACAGCTTCAAACAGAAAAAAAATACGATTTTGCAGCTGATGTCACATCTTGTAGTTTCTCAGTGCACTGCAGAGCAGTAATTAGCCACACACGTTGTCACCAAATAGATTGAAATGGGTGTTTCTTTTCCTTCTCAAAATTTATCATAAATTGCTAAGCACACATAATAATGAATGTGACATCCAATTAAATATAACCATCAGAAATTATTCTTGAGGCTCAAAACCCATCAGTGGGCGCAAGACACTCATCCAGGCCCCACATCGGGATGGGGGTTGGGAGGGCGATGGGGGGACGCTGTCCCCGGCCCAGTTAGGATAACTGACAGGTCCCAGGCCACTGACAGGTATGGCAAAGTCAGCCCTGGGAGCCAGCTAGCTCTGAGGGTTATAAGGTAGAAAGTATGACATCCGTGCTTTGATAAAGGAAATCTACCCTCCTGGTCTGCGTCCCCAGGTCCCAGCTCCCTGGGCCTAGGACAATAATGGACTCCCACGGGGGGAGTTACACTGTGGTGACATTTGTCAGCAGGGCACTGCCACGAGCCAGTCTCACCGGGCCACATGGGGGCTAGGCCACGGTGACATCTATCATGAGGGCGATGCCACGAGCCAGTCTCACTGGACCAATTTAGTTTCTCTCTCTCGCCCTGAGTGACAAGTGTCAAGGACCACCAAAGGATGTTGGCAATGAATTTCATTCTGTGACACTCCAAGATTTCCCAAGCTCTCCAGGGACTGGCTTCATCCCAGGTGCAGCCTGCATCGCTGAATTGGCTGAGTTCCCAACAGGAAGAGCTCGGGCCCAGCCCCCCAGGCTTGAGGACTGTGCCTTGGGCCTGGCCCCTGGGGCCTGCAGGCTGGGGGGAAAGCCAAGGCTAAACAAACCAGGGCCAGGTGTGACAGGTGCCAGAAGCCAGTGTCAGGAGGCCCCAGAGGAGAGCGCAGCTCTGCAGAGGGACTGAGGCACGTCCCCAGGGAACCCCCAATGCTCAGGACAGCTGGGTCAGGCAGAGAGGACGGCTTAGCAGAGCTGATCCGTGAGCAGAGGAAGCGGTGAGATGGCCAGACAAGGACCAGGGCAGCTCAGCAAAGCTGCAGCCGCGTTTGGTCTCTTGATTCCCTGTCAGAGCAGAACAGGATGACAAGTATGTCAAACACAGCCACACATGCCCGGGGCGAGAACAAACTGTGACTACAGAACCAGGCAGGCTCTGGCTCCTGGCTCCTCCGGGTACCAGCACTGAGGCCTGAGCCCTTCACCCCACCTGTTTCAATTCACTAGCCTGTCCAGTGGAGACCACAGCATCCCAGGTGAGAGGACAGAATTCACCTTACAAAGGTGTTGCTAACTTTCCAGTGCTTTCCCGAATCTTCCAGAAACAGTGCTCTAAGACTGCCAGGAAGGCTGACAGCCTTTGATACTTCCTCCCTTGGGGAGGCCAGGGAAAGCCTGTGTTGTTCCCCCTCCTCTCTCTGCAAACTGGCCTTCAGCCCAGTTTTCTCCCACACCTCTCTGTCTTTCACAGCTTGATGCCAGCTAGCCCGCCAGTGGGCACGGGCTGTCCCTCATTTCCTGGTGCTGTCCCTCTCCGTGTGGGGAGCATGGGCTGACCACGGCCTCCCTGGCTCACTCCCTCACTCACGGTGTGCACACAGGGCCAGCCAAGCACACTCACCCGCCTAGCATCTCCCCAGGAGGCTGCTCAGACTGGTACCTCGCCTAAGGATGTTTCAGGATGATAAGCCCCGCCCACTCCATCCGATTTTTCAAAACTCAATTGATAACAAAATGCTTGGGAGAAGGTAGCATGTTTTTTCCCATGGCACAGATCCAGGGCTATCAGTTGTCACCTGTCACCATAGATGGTGGGCTCTGACAATCAGAAACGCTACCCTGGGAAGGATGCTGAGGCCATCCAAACTCAGTGAGGAGCAGCATGGAGAAGACTCAGCCATGTCCACCAGAGCTCAGTGGCTTGTGGGACTGGCTGAAGTCAGAACCAGCACAGGGAGCAGCAGGAAGCCCAGGTGGCCCCCAGGACTCCAGGGGTCACAGTCACCTACGCAAGCCACATGGTGAGGAGCTGCAGTGTGCAAAGCCCATATCACATTCACTCAAAAGCCATATGGAAACTTCCAGCTAGGAGGAAGAGACAGGCTCTGGGATAGGATGCAG